GAAGGACAGGAGGGTAAAATAGGTCCTGTTAGGGGCAGGGTACCAGTGGGAGGGGGAAGGGTAAATGGAGAGGCAAAGGAGGAATATGGTCAATACTTTGTATTCATGTATGAAAGTTGAACAATGAAACCTACTGAAATTGTTCTAAGAAAGGAGGTGAGGGAGGATGAGGGAGAATGATGAAGGGAGTGAACCAAATTAGAGAAACATTGTAAGCACATATATAAATGTCACAATGAAACCCCTGTACAACTAACAGGGGTACCTAAGGTGGTGCCCTGCTTAGTAAGCCCTGAGTTCAAAGCCCGGTAACACACACACACACACACACACACACACACACACACAATGCCTTGCCTAGAGGTTGGAGATTGGAGTTGAGAGAAACCAGGCTCAAGAGAGAGGTGCAGGGTTGCTTTGATGAAAACACAGACCCCTTTCCCAACACCCACACTTGCAATATTGGCAATGGAAAACTCAGGGCTTGTCTCAGCCAGGTTGAGTGCGGGATTGTTGCTGCTGGGCTACGAAGGATCCAGATGTTGTCACAGACGGGCATCTGACTCAGAAGCGGAGCAGTTGCATCTCCAAAGTAGATGCTGAGCTCAGAAAGTGCTGCTGCAGCTTGTAGCAGGGGGGCTACTCCATTCTGAGGTCCTGAAGTGGTAGGCTTTCCAAGGCTGACACTCTGCTAAGTCTCAGAACAGTCATGACTCCACATTAAAGCAATGAATAATCGCAAATCTGCCTTAATAAATTTTACCCACTGTCCTGGTAGGAGAAACTTTACAAATATCCAGTCTATACTTCTGTGTTAATAGGAAAAAACCCTGAATCCTGTGTTGGTACATGGGAACCACCATGTTTTTAAATGGACAGTTGCTTCTCTCCCATGGGGCTGGCTGGTAGTCCTGTGGATGGCTCTGGAGCCCCTATAAGTTCAAGCCTTTTTAAGGTCATGGAAGTGGTCATATCATCAGACCCTGCCATAAAGGAGAACGTTTATATTACATTTGCTAAGTTTACTTTATTGAATAATTTAGCTCATTAACAAAGAATAAGATCCATGTTTGTTCTTTGATATAATACATATACATGACTATTATAGAACACCCTCATAAGGCAAAGACATATAGTTGAGTATACCTAACATTCGGAAATAAAAAATACAGATGATATATGCAATACCATATTATGACTCCACTTCCAGTTCTTATCTACATGGTAAGCCTCATCAGAAGGACTCACTCATATCTGTCAGCAAAACACACACATCCAAGGTCTGAACACTCAAGGGCCAATGTTCTCTGCTCTTTTGAATGGGTGGCCGTAGTTGAGTCAAAAGCCTTCATGGAAGGTGAAAGAACATTTGTGAAAACAAGGAGACACATGCAACACTTGTAATTTTGAGAAGCCACAGACTTCAAGCTATACCAGTAAGTGATCTGAATCTCGGCTCAGCATCAACTAAGTCCAGCATTGACTGGAAAGCAATTTGTCATTTGGAAATGAAATTTTCATCTCAAAAAGGCTGGCAGTGCTGGAAAAGGAACTAAGTGGTAGAACATGTGCTTAGCACATGTGAGGCCTGGATTCCATCCCAGCGTGAAAGAAAGGGAAGAAAAGAGAGAAAGAAAGCCCATAGAGGAAGGCTGTGATGGCGGGGGTAGACTTTGATTCTGACATAAGAGAAAGAGAAGGAAGTAGAGAAACTTAAAGAGCACACACAGATAGGAGCACTGGAGATGCCAGGCACCAAGCCTCAGCCATGGTGTAGCAACCAAATGGCAGGACTGGCAGGAGTGCAGGGCTGCTCTAAGGCTAACCACACAGCCTGCCAGGGCCCTACCTCTTCCTCTTGCTTTCATTTTACAAATGAACTTTCCAAATGAGCTGGCCCACAGCCCAATCTAAACAGGAACATAGGCCTACTGGCACCCCATGTTGAATGGCTGGAGTAGGGCAGAGAGAGCACCAAGCATGGGAGGCAAGGAGGAATGAAATAATGAGCAGGATTCTCGTTTCCTTAGTATAAAATCCTAGTTGATTCTAAAATGAGAAGAAAATTTCTCTGCTAATTTTCATTAAATGGGGTGAAAATATAAGTATGCACACATCTTTCAGAACATATATCAAGTATGCCACAATGAAACTAGCAGCTATTTACATTTTTAAGGAAAGAAGACAAATTAACATCAGACAAAAAGCCATGAAAAGAAGCCTACGGTATGCAACTGTATAAGTGTTACCCAATTCACCCTGGAATCTTTGCCCCAATTAGTTGAGATGAGAATCCCTTCTCAAGTTTTTTATGTACAAATGAGAGCATGAGCCCTTTTCACCTGGTTGTAAATATGAACAGATTTTGGGTAAGTGTTGGTGTCCTCCAAATCACAAATCGGTACGCTTTCTTCATAATAATCTGTCGGTTTATTTCTCTGCAGACAGTGGGACGTGCCATGCCTCGCAAATCTCCTCATTTGCTAAAGAAAGGAGAACGGCCAGAGTGAGTGTGAGCAAGGCCATATCATCCATTAGAGGGTGGAGGAGAAATACAGCCTCTCAAGTCCTGATGACTTCTCGGAAAATTTGATGACAATAGCCCAGTGTAACCAGACTCAGCTTCTCAGAGTTCACACTTGCATCTGGTTTGATTTCCCAACTTTGCAAAGCCCCTTTCCCCACCAGAGCAGCAATTCATTGAGTTACAGGCTCTCTGCTGGAGCAGCCACACATGGGCGTGGAGCAAGGGGACAGGACGAACACCAGACTTTTAATCTCCCGTTCCACGTAACTCTAGACTGTAATCATCAACTCTGCAATGTGAACTATCCTCAGCTCTCCTATTAAAGGCGCCCTGCTGGCATGAGGATGCACTTCCATCCAAATGTGGAAATTTAACTATAAATTCAAACAAGATCCACCACTAACTATAGGGTCATCAAGTGGATTATTGGTAAAGAAATCATGCCATATCTGACCTAAGCTGTCCTTCCATGTGTGGCAGGCGCTGGGGAGAATTTACTGCCAGTGTGAGTTAGATGGAAGCTGGATGCAGGCTGTGCATCCTGCAAAAGTCCTGCTCATTGTGGTAGAGAATCCATGCCAAGGACCAAAAATGCCTTCCACTCGGGGTTTCCAATCAGACCCTTGTGTCCTATTTAGCATTTGAGTGAATGCCAGCTTTCTGTGGTCTAGGAGCACTAATGCATAAACTGGCTTGTATTTTTCCAGACTCAATGAATAGCATCAGCTAAACATAGCACAGTAATATAACACTTCAGTCACAGGACTGTGTGTGTGTGTGTGTGTGTGTGTGTGGTGTGTGTGTCTTTTCATTTTCTCTTTTTTTTTCTTGAGAAAATGAAACATTTCAACCATAGTCACATAACAGGGATATGGGAAACAGCCTTAGATAAATACATAGACAAAGGAAAGAAGAAAATATCATAGTATGGGAGCAACGGCTGGAAAGGAATAGGTTTTATAGCTAGCATGCCATAAATTGGCATGTGGCTTCAATAAATTGCACATTTTCCTCTGTCTGCTTGCCTTTGCTTTGACCGAGGATAATGATGCTGTGCACTAGTTCTTTGTGGGCTGCTGTGACTATGTGCATTAAACCTGCCCTCACTGAGAGGGTCACAAAGTTAATCATACTCATTCCTATCATGACAACAGCAGCCTAGAACCATTTACGGCTAAAGATGAGGGCATTGTTGGAGCTGATCCTAACAGGCAGTAGTATGGAAATGGAAAACACGAGGAAAGGCCTCGAGGTGGAGTGGCGAGGGGATGGTGGGTGTGCAGTGGGGATTTGCAGTGGGATTTGTGGGTGCTTTGCATCATCTCTGCTTCATATGGAATGATGCAAGTTTCACTCTCTACATCCCAATGCTTTCTGTGCCCCCAAATGCACCTACAGTAGTGCTCATGTCTCGTATTAAATAACTGATAGGCTAAGGAACCAGAACTCTGCCATGCCCAAAGAAAGAGCTAGAAGAGAGGGCCTCTTGCCTTGTGGTGCCTAACTGCTATTTCTTTACAGCCACCAAGTGAGATGAGATCTGTAGGTGGTTCTCTTGGTCTTCTAAATGTTTCAGTTTACCCAGAAACCAGAGCACTTCTTCTAGTCACTTCAACACTGGGAGCCATGCAGTGTCCTTCCCTAGGAGGTACAGGTCCATTGCTTGTCACTTGTTGTTGACCTGGGGTTTGAGGAAAGCTCCTGTGACTGCCGGCATTCTTCTGAAGGCTGTAATTTAAAAGACTAACCATAAACAGATTCCTTTTGCATGCCTCCAAAACCAGTGTGTTTTATACAGATGAGCTGCCCATAGAGGAGATCAGGGAGTGCACTGTGAAAAGGAAGAACAGTAACTTGAAGATAAAATCAGTTACTTGGAAGAACTGATGCACTTGGAGTAGAGTTCAGAGTAAATGTAAGGTCCGAACCGAAGTCTGATGCCGCTTGACTCAGAATTCAAAGAAGGCTTACATTTCAGCGAGTAAATTACGTATCCATTGAATTCAGCTGATTTCAGACCAAGTCAAAATGAGAATGAAGTATTCCAGGGTATGCCAAACTTAGATTTTTTTTCTGGAGATATAATCACCCCATTGAGAGGAACAGTGCAATAACTGGAAGCATTTTCTCCTTCTAAATAGATCCTCCAGGTTTTAAAATTTCAAATAAATCTCAAGTATGATTGTTCTAGTAGTCTGAGAAATACCAGACATAATGTACCCCTATCTGGGTGACTAAGATTCAAAAATTTTAAAAATTAAAATTAAAAAAAAAAAAAAACCTCAAGAGGGCAGGGAAACAGCTTCCCGATCTGCACTAGATGGGAGGTGGGGATCTGCCTGAGCCCCCAGGGGACAGGCAGTGGATGACCCACTGAACACAGTAGAGTTGCTCCAAGTTCAAGTTCAAGGACTCCCCCTACTACCTCTGCCAGTCATTAAAGGGGTCAAGACATCAGAACTGCTGAGTGTTCAAAGTCTTCTCAAAGCAGCAGCAACCACAGCAGTTTTCCTGCAAAGCAAACAAAATATGAATCTTGTTAATTCAGCAGGACTTTTAAAATTGTAATTAGTTGGTTGTGCCCTTAGGAAAACCTCAGATGATTTTTTTATGACATATGTGTGTATGTGAGAGAGAAAAAAAAGAAACCTCTTGATGGATCCTACTGCTTACCAGAGTTAAGTTTTTTTTTTTTGTTTTTTTTTTTTTTTTTAGTTTATGAGAGACATTTTACCACTATTTGCAATACTGAGGGACAAGGCCTTTTTGTTCCATCTGTAGCACAGCCACTCCTAAACTGTTGCACTGGTCTACAGTCAGCTTGATCCCAGTATCAGAGCGAGATATGGAAGTCATGCAGGGAACACAGTCATCTCTTAGTATCCATGGGGTGTTGATGCCAGCACCGTAGATACCAGAATCCACAGATGCTCAAGTCCTTATATAAAATGATGTAGTGTTTGCAAAGAACCTACACACTTCCTCTCATAGACTTTAAATCATCTCTAGGTCACTTATACTGTAATACCTAACCCAATATAAATGCTGTGTACCTAGCTGTCATGCTGCATTGTCTGAGGAATGAGGACAAGAAAAAGAGTCTGTACATGTTCAGCATAGATGCAATTTTTAAATCTAAATTTTTCCATCAACAGTTGGTTAAATCTGAAGCTATAAGCCATGGATATGAGGGCTGACTGTATTTTCATTTGTTCAGGATCACCTCTGACCTAGGAGCTGCACTCTGTTCACTGCCCTAAGTCATTTCTATGGATCTAAGGAGGTGTCCTAAATTTATCTCTCATAGTCTGGTAAACGATGCAAAGTTGGGTATAATTAACAGAGTGCCATCAGGTTGATTTTTTGAAGTATTTCCTTGAAGTATCAAGAAAACCTCGAACAAATTGAAGGAGATTTATATGCCTAAATTTACACTGTGGAATATGCCTCATTCACATGGCCTGGAACGCTTTCTTTTTCCACAGGAATAATCTTTAACCACCATATTTTTAAAATCAATATTATCTCAAATTTGGTTTCACTCATAATACATTTTGCCAAAAACCTCATCTCAGCCTGGCAGAGAGTATAATGTGAAGAATGATTTTTTTAAACTTCTCAAATGAGTTTTCTCCCAGATTTAATATCTGAAATTTATCTATCTATCTATTTATTTTGGTAGTACCGGGGTTGAACTCAGGGCCTTGCACTTGCTAGGGCAGGAGCTCTACCACATGAATGACTGGTGCCAGTCCTTTTTGTGTTAGTCATTTTTGTGACAGGGTCTCATTTTATGCCAGGGCTGGCCTGAAGAACTTTTTGCCCAGACCGGCCTTGAACTGTGATCCTCTGTTCGCTACCTCCCAAATAGCTAGGATTACAGGTGTGAGCCACCACACCAAGCTTTACATTTAATTTTTAATTAAAGAAAAAAGTAGGGGCTGGGACTAGGGGTCAATGGCAGAGCACGTGTTCTTCATGCATGAAACCCCAGGTTTCATCCCTAGCAGTGAAGAAAAAAAATGAGTAAGAAAGCAAATTAGGAAGCATCCAGATTATGTGGATCTAAATAGATTTTTCCTTGGCCTGAGACCCAGGTGAATTTCTGTGGCCTAAGAGGGCTGGCGTAACTCAGGGAAAGGAGGCAGCTAGCCCACCTGGCCATTAGGAGGCAAACTTGACTGAGTCCAGAGAGAGGTCTCATCATGCAATTCCAGCAAAGGTTGTGGCAAGCTACATTGGTGTGACCAGCTGCATAACTGTCACCAAATGACTGCCACTACTGTCCAATACATTGGGTTCAAAGTGACAGCCTTGGTACGGAAGGACTATACTCCCTCCCCAGCCATTTCCTCTCATTCCTTCCCCTAGACCTCGGTGACAGGCTGCCTTGCAATGCCACCCCTATCACCCAGTGCGTTCATTTTTACCAGGCCTCAAAAGTGCCTTCAGTACTTCTGGTGGGAAGGTGGTTTGTGGCAAACCCTTGGGGTTTGTGGTAGCTGGGGACAAAACTGCTTCTGGGGGAGAGGATGAGGGAGGAGAAAGGATGAACAGAAACAGGCCTGGCTGCTTTGGACCCTGCATACTCAGAGCTTACTGTGAATGCCTCTCAGTGCTGTGAACCAGACCTGGACCAACAAGGGTCCTTGAAACAAAACTGCCTCCTAGCTTCCCAACACTTTAATGCCCTTTAATACTATTTTTGACAAACAAGAATGATCCTTGTAAATTGAAAGACCAAACCTTCTGCCTGATCGTTCATAACTTCCTAAATAAGTAACAGACTCATAAGTAAGTTTCCCTGACGTGGAAGGCCAAGTGCTTTCCAAATACTGGTTTGTGACCTTGATTATTATATACTGATTTACTCCTATCTCATTGTATTCTACAAAAGATTTGAGCAGTGTAATATGCAGCCAGAAAAAAAAATCTTACACAGAAAAATTCTGATTGGAATAAAGGATTAAGGCCAGTATAATTCAGTGGTAAAGAGGTGCCCAGCATGCACAAGGCTCTGGGGTCACTTTAGCAGCTAAGCTGGCCGTGGACTGTCTGTCTCCTCCAAGGACATAAATGTTGGATTTTCTAAAAGTGCTTCTCAGTCAGTGCCCTGTTGCTCCTTTAGTTTTCCTTAGGGCATACCTTGACCTAGTTATTGAGATAAAAGGAGGTATTCATGCATACAACTATTCCTTAATAATTTCAACAAAACTCTAATTGGGGTAGAGGAAAACACATCTGAGTTGTGTGCAGAGGTGTTACTCAGGGTCAGAGAGCAAGACCAAGGTGACAGCAGCTCAGGGGAGGAGACCCAGGCTTCAGAATCATGCTCTCCATTTCCTGGCTGCAGGCCTTGTGTGAGTTACTTCATTTCTGAGGCTCTGAGATGCAATTCTCCCATCTATACAAAAGAAGGTGTCATCTCCACAAGCCTTACACAACTTTTGTAAGGATTGCCTGGAACCGTTTCTGTTCAGAGACTGGAGCCTACTGAGCTCATTATTGAGGGTTCCTCCTAGGCACCCAGGCCTTGGTCTGGCCTATCTCACTAAAGCCACCCAGTGATCTTAGGTAATGAGACTATCCACAATCCTCCACTAGAAAACAGCAGAACAAGGGTTCAAACACAGCACTCTGAATTTGGGGCCCTCTCCCATCTCCAGGCAAAAACACTGCCCTGCTTCCCATAACATCTGTGCAAGGAATAGGCAATTTCTTTCTTACTCTTCTTGCTTAGGACTTGCACAAACACCTCTTCAGCAACAGTTCCCCAACCAGAGGAGCTGTTTGAATCTGATTGCAATAGAAATCTCAGATTTCAATCCTAGTCAATTCCTAAATGAATGTAATTTCCTTTATTCCCAGGGTGGGGGGGGAACAAAAGACCTGAGACCAACCTTTCAAATGGGTGCCTTCGGTAGACTATTTGGTCACGAGGTTCTGCACATCAGAGCTGCAGTTCTTTTTCTAGGAAAACCAGGGAACATTTGGGGAAGGATTAGAACTGTTTTCATCAGTTCCTGGCTTGTAATAAGAGTCCATAATTTGCTATTCAGTAGATGCCATTCTACAAGAAGCATTCTTTTTTCTTTGTTTGTGAGACAAGGTCTCACTATGTAGCCCAAGCTGTCATCAAACTCACAACAATGCTCCTGCTTTAACCTTCCAAGTGATGAAATTATAGGTGTGGGTCACTAAACCTGGCTTTTAGCAGACACTTTTTTTTCTTTTTCATTCTTTTATCCCAGGTGTTCTCTCACTTGAGCCATCCTTTCACCTCTCTTTTGTTTTCGTTATTTTTTGAATACGGTCTCTCATTTATGCCTGGGCTGGCCTGAACTGCAGTCCTCCCATTTAAGCATCTCACATAGCTGGGACAACAGGCATATACCACCATGCCCATTATTGGTTGAGATGGGGTTGAGATGGCTGGCCTCCAACTATGATCCTCCCAATCTCTGCCTCCTGAGTAGCTAAGATTACAGGCACAAGCCACCACACCTGCCCTCCACAGACATTTTTAAAGGTTAAATTGCCAATGACCCTCCAGCAGACACCACCTTCACAGTTTTAGCTCAAGCACACCTCCCACTCTCCTGTAATGCCCCTGCCATCACTTCACTTCCTTCTTACTGAAATCCTGAGTCCACCCACTTAGTCCCTAGCCACACTTAATTTTTACACACAAAGTACAAGAGTTAGGACTTGTGACACTGGGGCTGCAATGACTAGAAGATGAGTCAGACACAGGTATGGTTCCTTCCATGAGCACTCAAATCTAGCAGATGAGGGTGATGTAAATGCCATGGAGAGATTCAAGAAGACAAAGAACTCCAGTTTGGGGATTGAGAAAAGCCCTTATAAAAGAGGTGGCATTTAACATCGGCCTCAATCAGTAGGATTTGGGCTGCTTTCCAAGGAGTGGTAGAGACAAGACTGGAAATGAGTTTGGGGAGTACTAGAGCAGCTGTGACTGCTGGTGCATTTGGTTTGGTGTGGACATTAGGGGACATGTGAACACTTTTGATCAGGGATTGCCACAATATAGTTTGGATCTTAACTGTCCCCCAAAGGCCCACATGTTCAAGATTTGGTTCCCAGCCTACAGTGCTGTTGGAAGGTGGTGAAACCTTTAGGAAATGGGGCCTAATAGGAGGAAGTCAGGTCATGGGGCATGCCCTCAAAGGGAATTAGGGGAACACCCCCACACACACCCTTCCTTCTTTCTCTCTCTTCCTGGCCATGCAGAACAGTTTTGCTGTCATGTGCTCCCACCATGATGTTCTGCCTCATCACAGGCCCAAATTGATGATGACCCAAAACCTTCCAAACTATAAACTAAATTCACCTTTTTCTCTTGACTAGTTGATTACTCAGGTATTTGTAATAATAATGGAAAGCTGACCAAAACAGGAGTAGTGTGATCAGAGTTGTGATTAAGGAAAGGATGATTTGATGGACTGGAGAAAAGAGTGGAAAACAGTTGGATATCAGCTCATGAGTGTTTTATTAATCCACTGAGAGAAGGGTCTGAACTATGGTAGTAGCACTAAGAATGAGAAGGAAGGGTAAAACACATCTTGGTTCTGGGAGAAAAGAAACCATCTCATATTTGTTCAGATTTCCTTCTTCTGACCCCAAAGCATTAAGGAATTCTGAGGTAGGTATTTGCTGAGCTCTAATAGATTCATAGTTTGGGAGTGCTTTGCCCTGCCCCAGGTGAGGGCTATTTATGATGGGAGATCGGTTTTGTACATACAGATGGTTGTGGGCATAAGGAAGGCCATAAAACAGAAGGCAGAAAATTTTAATTTCTAAGAAAGAAAAAATGTTTCTTATGTGACAGATGATAGGCATGCTTAAGTGATCAAGAATTAGTTAAGTACTCCTGAATCTGAAACAATTAAAAGAGATAAATAAGAATGTATAAAATATTTTAAAATAGAATTTAGGTCAAAATGGTAAGTAACTTAGGATCAAAATTAAATTTCCAACATAAAGCTAAGTTCTTATTTAGGGAACATGTCAGAACCAAGATCGTTCCAAAACTAAATCTTCCTGAAAACCTGAAATCTGAAATGCTTCAAAATCTGAAATATTTTGAGGGCCAAGAACATGACACCACAAGTGGAAAACTCCATTCCTGATCTCCTGCTGGATTACAGTCAAATCACAGGTGCACTAAAAATACTGCATAAAATTGCCTTCAGACTATGTATATGTGAAACATTTGAATTTTGTATTTAGGCTTGGGTCCCTAAAGATGCAAGATGCATGCAAATATTCCAAAATCTGAAAAAAAAAATTCAAAATCTGAAACACTTCTAGTCCCAAACGTTTCAGATAAGGGATACTCAACCTCTATTTTATTGAAAAATAAAATATATTGTTTGAATATTGGCTTTCAATCACATGAAATATGTACAAGAATGTTTCTGAAAACATGGTCTAGGCCTCCTTTACCCAGCACAACAGTAGAGCAGTAAAGCTCTGCCCAGACTCCAGAACTTACCCTCCCATCCTCATTTATAAAATGGGAATAGTAATAATGCCACCAATATTGGCGCTGTAAGAATTACATGCAGTTAGAGCAGTGCCTGACACAGGGCCATATAACTTTCATGATAACTAGACTTAGGAGATTTTTTAAAAATTGTCGCCATTCTTAAAATATCTTTTCACCTCAGGTACTGGAAGATGGATAGAATAACAAAAAGATGATTTTTTGCTGTTGTTTAAGAATATTCTTTAAAAAAACCTTTAGACTGTATAATGTCATTAATTCTGTGCTGTGGTTTCTATATTGTCCTGCCATGTCAAAGTGAATTTGGACACCAATAAGCTTGGATAAAAATACAGTCGTGGAAAATGGGCTCAAAATAGGTTGGTCACCCTAATAAGCAGTTTATGTAGTCTGAGTGAAGGCCTGGCTAGGTAATAAGTCTATTTTTACTTGGCATCAGTACCAATTATCAAGGAAAGGTATATTCAGACACAAATAAAACTTGGTACTGATGCTGAATTTAGAAGTAGAGTTAATTTCAATAAAAACTGGCTGTGGAAAAAGTGAGTACCTGAAGCATAGTCATTCCAAGGTTTGTTGGTCAGGGAAAAGTTCCTTTCCAGAACCCCAGGGAGTGGGGAGGATAAGGAGAAGAGGTGGAGGAAATGAAACTGAATGGCGCACGTACCATGCTAGGAGCATGGCAACAGCCACCTCAACCAATGCTCATGTCAGCCCGGTCTTTCACCACCCCTGGGGGCATAGGGTGTTTATTGCTTCTGTGTCCATCTTGTCCAGTTAACCATCCGAAATGTATGTCTGTTCCTGTGTTAGTTCTATATTCCCTGTTCATTTGAATGGAAACAGCATGAGGAGGGCACTGAAGCCAGTTAGTTTGAAGGCTATGGTAGTAACTCAGTGGACAAGTTCCAGGCAAGGACAACCATGGGATTGAGAAGATTGGACATATTCCAGAGGCAATCAGGGGATATAATACACAGAATTTGGAGGTAAAATAAGCATGAGATGGAGGAATTGAGGAAGAGGGAGGAAACAAGGAAGATGCCTGGGGTCTGTTTGAGCCACACAATGGGTATCCTTTGCTGGGAGGATGGTTGAGGATGGGGTGAGGTGGGGAGAGATGAGTTTGGCTTAGGATTGAGAAGATCCACGTGGAAACATTTAGTACACAGGTGGATATGTGATCTGAAACCAAGGAGAGAAATCTTGCCAAAGAGACACATGAGGAAGTCAGAATACAAACATAAGATAATAGGAGCAGAGAGAGATGTCACTGTAAGAGGTTGGTACACAGTGTGGACTCAATTATTCTCACCAAATGCTTTAGTCTTTAGTCTCTGGTAAAAGTAGGCTTCACATATATTTGCATGAACATCTGCATCAAGCTGAGTATTAAGATTTGGTGCCAGAACAGACTAAACCAGGTCAGCAGAGAATTTAGAAATCTGAATTCTGTTTTAAGAAGACATTTACGTACATGAGCATGTCTTCTCCAGAACTTTACACTTTTTTAAAATTTATTTTATTCATATGAGCATATAATGTTTGGATCATTTCTCCCCCCTACCCCCTGCCCCCTCCTTTTCCCCCGCCCCCCTCTCTCTCCCCCCTACCCCCTCGCTACCAGACAGAAACTATTTTGCCCTTATCTCTAATTTTGTTGAAGAGAGAGTATAAGCAACAATAGGAAGGACCAAGGGTTTTTGCTAGTGAGATAAGGATAGCTATTCAGGGAGTTGACTCACATTAATTTCCTGTGCATGTGTGTTACCTTCTAGGTTAATTCTTTTTGATCTAACCTTTTCTCTAGTTCCTGGTCCCCTTCTCCTATTGGCCTCTGTTGCTTTAAAGTTTCTTAATTAGTTCCTTTGCACTGAGGATATCAAATGCTATCTTGTTTTTTTTTTTTTTTTGCATTTCTTGCCTATCCTCATACCTCCCTTGTGTGCTCTCGCCTCATCATGTGATCAACGTCCAATCTCCTTGTTGTGTTTGCCCTTGATCTAAAGTCCACATATGAGAAAGAACATACGATTTTTGGTCTTCTGGGCCTGGCTAACCTCGCTCAGGATGATGTTCTCCACAGAACTTTATACTTTTATATATCCAGACCATAGATACTAATGTGTGTGTGTGTAAGTGTGTATGTATAGTACTCTGATATAATTCATTTTATAATGAATACAATGATTTCTTAATAAACATAGTAGTTATGCTGAACACAATAATCTATTAAGTGTATATAATTAAAATCATAATTAGCATTACTTTTAAAACAAAAACTGTTGAAAAAAGCATTCTAAGGAGTTTAACACTAGCATAAGATGTGAAGCTGAGACAAAAGGTTGAGGGGAATGTACACCTAATAATCAAAAGACAGGAAAAGGGGAAACAAGAAGCATAGTCACCTGTGCATTGAGTCTGGAGTGGAGCTTGTGGTCTGACAACCAGGGGTGCTTGAGAGCTTCACTGGCACTTATTCTCCAACTAAAGGGAAATTCAGGAACTTATTAGTAGGAGCACACCAAATGATGCCTGTGTCAGCCATTCATCTTTGGCTCTGTCCACCACCTTTGGTAAACTAGATGGCCAAATGCCAAATTCACAGTCAAATCTGTCTTCTAAGGAATTGTGTGCTATGGATGATGTCATAGATGACCATTAGAACCAACTCAGGTAACAACAGTGGTAAGATAAGTAACACAAGTGATCAAAAATACTTCATAATTGAGTATCTACTTCTAAATATAAGTCATAAACATCTGGGCTTCATAAATTTAACTCCTAACAAACAGTTGAAAAATAAATGCACATTTATTGTTGTAAGAACAAAATGACTCTTGGTGATTATAGAAACAATTTATATGTTAAAAATTTTCACTAACTTTTGAATTAAGAACTTTGAATTTTTTATAATAGGGAAAAGAGCTAATATAATTGTTGAAAGAGCACATTAAATTACTTTATGAACAGACTATATCCTTTTGGATAGATCTGAGAAAATGTACACAATTTGAGAAAATAATATAAGGGAGAACAGTAAAGATTATTTTACAGTCTAATTCTAAGCTTTGTAAACTTGTTTGGTATTCTAATATCTATCACATTAAAATAACCCTTCAAAACAAAACTGAGTGCAACAATCTGAAATCTGCTTCTGAAAAATATCAAGTAGTTTCAAGCCATCATGAAGCTTCAGTTTACAGAACTGCTTCAGTGTAACTGCTTCATCAGATACCAAATATTGAAGTATAAGGCTTAGAGAGAAGAGATGTCTTTACTTGAGATGAATTTATTGCAAACATCATCATTATAGAACCCTAAACAGGCTGAGATCATTAATAAAAACTCTTTACTTCTACCAATCTCAGATGGAAACACAATTCTGCTTAGTAGCATAAATTTTCAGTCTTGGATCCCCAGGGCATTCCAACAGCTGAGAGTGTCAAAATGATTACTGCTGCACTCTAATATCACACTTTTAAAATCTCACTATTAAAAGTAAACAATAGCATTGTAATAATAATTAGACTTTTAATATTTCAGGTTTATTTTATATGGCAGAAATGTATTGTATGATAGTGATATTCAGCTTTGGCCTTAGTTTCATCCAAGTATTGTCAGTTGCCCAAATGTAATCTGATGCTTCTTAGGTATTAATGAAGCCCTCAGACTGCAGGAGCAGTAGGTCACAGCACTGCCTTAGGATCTGTTGTTTGCTAGCCACATGACTTCACTGCTCTCTGTCTCAGTTTCCTCATCTGTAAAATAATGGTCATTATCTGCACATACCACAGGATTATTCAGAGGTTAAATAAAATAACACAACAGCATATGTATATATGTAGATACATTCTATATATTTACATATAATGTATATCTACATGTATTATATTCAATATAACATATTATATATTACATTATATGTTACATATATATAATATGTTCACAGTAAGTGTGGATTTCTCATTCTCTAAAGTTTGGTAAGGTTGCTATTTTCCATCTGCTCATTGCCTAGCGTACAGTACTGTGCAGATAATAATAATGATAACTTTGACTGTTATTTACCTTTCCATAAGGACAAAGAACATCACTATCTAAATTGCCCTTCCCCTCTGACTGATATTGTTAGCCTGGCTAAGTCTACGTCACTCTGTAGAGACTCAGGTCTGGTCCCATCTTTGTGTGAACCACATTGTATTCTTTCACTTTAAAGAAACCTATATAAAAATATGTATCTCTTCTATTAGATCATGCATTTACTAAAGCAGGGACTGGACTTCATACATCTATTCTCAATATCATGACACATTTCCTGGACTAATTAATGATCAGCTAAATGCTGGAATGCAAGAATCTCCCATCAGGCACTGTACCAGGTCCATTGCCCGTGTTGTTTCCGCTGCTTCCCATGGCACCCTCCTAGCTATTGACTCGTAGGCATGTTTACTATGGAGCTAAAAGCCATAAAGATAATAAAAGAATAAAGCAAGTATTATTGACTCTGAAAATTTTAAATACCATCTACCATGATATGGCTTAGATATAAAGCCATCTGAAACAGTTAATTACAATGTCCTTCCCCCTCTATGACTCTAAAGTGTAAATCCCTATATTTCAATATCCTTTTTCACCCACTGAATTTTGAATTAATATGGTTTTAGTATGACGGAGAAAAAACAGAAGGTCATGTAACATACAACGGGTTAGTGTGTGGCCTTGGAAGGTCAACTTGGGTTTGAATATCATTTCTGCCACTTACTAGCACTGTGTCATGGGCCAACTACATAGAATCTCAGCCATAAAACAGTAATAGGGCTGAGGTGTGGCTCAAGTGGTAGAGTGCCTGTCTAACAAATGTGTGGCCCTGAGTTCAACCTCCAGTAGCACCCAAAAAAAAAAAAAAACCCAGTAAGAATGTACTTTCTATTTTTTAGAGTTAGGGGAAGGGGCAGTGGTTAAAAGAAATAATGTATAAAAAAAATAGTTGGCACTCTGGCCTATAGTAGATTCTCAAATGAAATGGTACAGAAGTATTCAGCTATACAGAGCCACAACTGCTTTACAGAGGTGAAAGTGATAAAGGGTGAGTCACCTGACACCCAGCAGGAGACCATGATTGTTGGAGCTTTGCTGCAAAAGGCAGAAAGAGAAGTTTTCACAGCCATACTGCGGTCTCATGGCCAAAGCAGTCCCTGACATCACTAGGTCAGGTCAAGTGGGTCAAATCTCACTCTGTTTGCAATTAGCATAAGCACCACGGATGGCATGGGGGAAAATGGATTCTAACAATGCTGGTGGGGCACACTGCTTCCTGACTATCCCCAAGTTTCCTAGTGTGCAGGGTGGACTGGAGCTACCTCTTCTCCTTAATCAGGAGCTTGGCGATGAACTCCTTAGCCTCCTCCGAGATGTCCTGAAATTCTTCGTCCTCCAAGTCCCACCTGCATGCCAGGACATTGCTCAGTGTCTCCGCATCATTATCACCCAGGAAAGGGGACAAACCGCTGAGTCTAGGACATAGGATCCCAAGTCAGTATTTTTAAACAGCCTCAAACCCATTATAGAAAGGTTGCTTTTTGGTTCTGTCATTTAAAAGAGGAGGAAATAAAACCTAACAATGAAGCATAATTTTATAATCTATCATTGCAACCAAGAAAATGCTGACCTCCCCCACCCTAACTCTTAAATTATTCTCAAATAGTACAAATTTTTTTTTAAAAAGCTGTCACATTCTCAGAAAGCAAAATGCCTGAAATGTCACCTTTGGGGAGTAAGGAGATGAGTATGTGAGGGCTTTTGTTTGTTTTTAATAACTTTTAGGGCTTTAGGCAATGTCCTAGGACTCAAAGTGACCTCTGAAGAGGACATACATTTACTTTTTTCAGATGATGTGGGGAAAGGAATTCACTCCTTTCACCCCCAAGATTCAACAGAACTTAGAAAGCAACTAAATGTGTAAGGCGTTATTTATTGTTAAAAGACCTAAATTAGGGCTTTTGTTCAAAATAGTAAAATCTTATATAATATACACAGGTTGAGAGCAAGTATGTGAGAGATACTGTGAAGCTTCTTACAGCATATAGGCAATGACCCCCACACTCCACATGTCAGTGGGAAAGGAGACAAAATCATAGTTCACAACTTCAGGAGCAAGGAATTCTGGGGTTCCAAAGTTCACCTTCAGCTTCTCTCTGGGTTTGTATCTGAAATTGGGGAAACAAAGTGGATGGATGTAGACTGTCAGTCAAAAACCAAACACTGTGTACACTGAAAAAAGACATGGTCTGTGAGACAGAGTAACTTCAGTTACAAGCAAACTTAAAAAAGAAACTATAAAAAAAATTGCATATTTGTGCTAGTGACAGAAACATGTAAAAAAGGCCCAGGGGTTTTAAGAGTAAAAATTCATCTATAAAATCTTAATAACCTGAAATAGTTGTAGAGAGAGCCACTCTGAATAATTAGAACATCCGAATTATAGAATACAGCAAAAAGAAAACCAATACTGTCCTTGTCATGAAGATGGCTTGAATACACCTTTGCTAATGAACAGGAAAATGCTGCAATAATTTACAATGCCATTCTACATGCATCATTAATGTGCTGAATTGTTAATGTGTCTATGTAAACTTTTTTTCCCTTAAGAAGCTTAGCTGTACCAGAACCCTCTGTAATCTTGTTTAAACTGTTAACATTGTTAAAGCAAATCTTCTCTTTACAGATGGAACAATAAGACTAAGATGAATCCTTACAAATGCGAAATTAATGGCTTCTAACTTAATAAAGTTCATAAAGGATTTTTCATTTCTCACTTTATTATCACATACATTAGAGAAACTTTTAAACGCTAAAATACCAAATTCAACAAGGTAAGTCTGAACATAATTTAAGTTAAATTAATTCTCAACGAGGGCATGAAACCAAGGGGCATATCAGATTTATCTTTGCAAAGAATGTGCATCCATCATGCCCCCTGACTCCATTCCTGCACCTTATGCCCAAAAAGACATACCTTCTGGCCAATCCAAAATCAATAATTTTTATTTGTTTAGCATCCCGATTCACACACAGGATATTCTCAGGCTGCCAGGAGAAAGAGACACATTAGCAATGAAAACAACCATCCTTCACTCAAATTGTCCCTGAACCACAACTAAAAATACAACAATGCTAAGGAAAAACATATCAGGCCTTTCACTCAGAGGCTGGCTTGTCTGTGTGGGTATTTTCTCCTTTAATTATGTGGTGGATGAGGTTGTGGGTACCCTGCCAACCTTGCATTACCCTCCCTGTCCCTCTCCATAGTTTTGCAGTTTACCATAATGCATGAGTTCAGGCAGAGGCCTCCTTGAGGGAAAAAAGAAAAGGAGGCTGTTTCAGGGCTTCCCAAATGGGCTGGTGGAGGCCAGTTCAGACGGGACATCTGCCCCTAAAGATATTAAGTATGTCTCCTCTTCTTTGCAGGAATATTTTCCCCAAAGATTTATGAGTTCCAAGAAATGGCCTGATTCACCTAAACAAGCACATGGAATATGCAATATAAACGTGAACATTCCAGACCCTAGATTTTCACTTTGTACTTTGTCTATGGGAAAGTCACATGCTAAAGGAAGCCTTTCTCTCCCATTCATTCTTCATCCTCGGAAGTTCCAAGGTTATGCTGAGCTTGTTCTCAATTCCTAAAGCCCTTGACTAAGTGTTCCTTGGAGTTAGACACTGTGAAGACTTTGCCCTGCTAATCTGACAGTCTTGGGGTAAAGGTGGAGAAGAGTACGCAGTAGCCTACTATTACTTGGGATCCTAGAATGTCTTATAAGTGTACCCACATTTATTAGGGTAGAAAAATTGAGGTCTGGGAGAAAAAAAGGGAACCGATTTAAAGTCAAAGTCATCCATAAAAGAGAAATAATGTTTTCAAAGGAAAGCTAAGAGCTCTCAAACCCTAGTTTCAATGATTCCATAGGAGTTGGGGCATTGGCAAAGTCACCAGATGCCCAGGATTCCATGCCCCACCCTTTAAGTGGGGATCATGGCCCCCCTTCCTCTGTTTGGTGGAAAAGAGGTTCAAATGAGACAGAAACTCAGACATACTTTATGAAATGATGTAACATATCTCCTTACTAATATCCAATTGTCCATTTGGCTGGGTGTAATATCTTTGAAAGCCCTTTTCTAAAATAGCTCTAAAACAGATGTCTGTGAGTAAAAAACATTTTATATAGAAGTGGTGCTATGTAAGAGCAATTAGTTTCATGCTTAAATAACTGACTGATCATGTATAAAGCTATCCAATTCTCAAAGAACAGTATGACATCCAAAAACTGGTGTGCAGGACGTAAACCATCAGCTGTGAAGGCACTTCAAAAAGTTAATTTTTATGATTATGAAATTAAAGAATTTTTATTGAATAAGATTTGCAGACCATAAAAACATAGCCGGGACCATATTTAAGTCATCTCTCAATTCCCTACATAGTGAGATGCACTCTTAATATTTTTGGCCCTTTTCCTTTCAAGGAGTCCTTGAAAAGATAGTCCTGGATGACTCATCCAGCTGTCACCTTTATTATCATCCTTACATACAAGCCATAACTAAAACTGCCCATCAAAGTGCTCAATCAATGTTATGGAACCACAGATGGACTCATTTGACTTATGATAAGTCAGCTCCTGGCTCCAGGTGCCAATCAAATCCCTTTAGGGATATCCGTGGAATATGCACACCATGAAGATGTGCTCCATGAAAATATGCATTATCATACTCGGTTCATGGCCAAGGGTTTTGCTAATGATTTTTAACTTCTGACTGTGTCATTTTATATACCATTTCCCCTGCCCTCCTGCTGCACAACAGTGAATGGGAAAGGCAAGGCATATAAATCAAGACAGTGAGGGAAACCAAGTTGTATGAAGAAGGCCCATGGAAACCTATATAAGGAGGCAAGATTTATTCAGCCACACAGTCCCTGGTGACTTGGAATAGATGGTATGTTATATAGAATACATACTTTAGCTCACTGTCATGCTGTGCAAACACAGAAAGGAGAAAATGATTGAGCCACACAAGAAGTTGCACTTGATGATACTCAGCTCCAACATAAGACTTGACCAGGATTATTGGGGCTTGGTCCTTTGCACTATGTATAGTTCAATTCTGGGGACTTCATAGTGAGAGTGGGATAAAGAGAGAAGGGGCAACAAACAAGAGGGGAAAGGAAGGGGTTTGGCTTTTTTCATGTGTTCTCTGCCATTTCCAGTGCAGTGCCCTCTCAACCCTCTCAGCATCTTGATATTTCAACCCTACCCTCTTCTGGCTTCCCTGCTTGCCATTCAGTGTTCCAGTAAGCCATGGAAAAATAAATCCCAAAGTCCAGAGCTTCAACGAAAGCCTTTGGGAGAGGGATGGGGATTCTTGGAGCTCTGGAAAGTTTGGCTAAGACTAGTGAATTCTGTATTAGCTAAAAATCTTCCCACCTGTGTACCTTCATAATGAGAAGGATATAACAACAACACTGTGATGATGGTGGTGTTTTAAATTGCAAACTTTTAGGGAAATCACATCCCATGTTGATTTCTTTAGAAGAGGCAATTTACAAGAATCTGAGCAATAGACTCTATAAATGGAAATGCAAATAGTAGCCCTAAAGATGGTGGCAGAAGTTGAAAATGAAAGAAACTAGTTTTTGCTGGGTGTGGTGGCCTGAGCCTGTAGTATCAGCTACTTGGGAGGCTAAGACAGGAGGATAGCTTGAACCCAGGAGTTCATGGCCAGTCTGGGAAATACAGCAAGATCCCACCTCAGAAAAAAAAAAATCCAGATTTTTGTTAGTACCTAAAAACATAAGTAGTAACAGCAGAAATTTCCTGAGTTGGTAAATAGCTGACAGGGCCCCCAACAAACATTTGGGGAAGAGTTGGGAAGACTCTGTGTTTGTTAGGATAGAAAGCCACTCTACCTTTAGGTCCAAGTGGAGGATGTACATCTGATGCATGTGCCTTATCCCCTCACAGATCTGCTTGATGAACAGGATGGTATCAAGCTCTGTCAAGTTGTAGTTCTCATCAATGATGCGGTCAAACAGCTCTCCACCCTCCACACTATAGAGGGAAGAGGGGTGAAGTTATTAGTTGTGGTTCTGTAAGCTCCACAGGCTTTCTCTATGGCAGCTTGGTACAAGTTCCTCTAAATCTTCCAACAGATGTGTGTACAAAGTTATTTCTCTGCCTTCATTGCTATCTCAGATGATTCTTATGTTGGAAGCCCTTCTTGTATACATTGTCTATCTCTGAGAGCGCAAAGACTTAAAGTACCTTTCAATCAGTGGCTATAGCTCTAGGTGAGTCCACCTGTACCATTCTCTAACACATTCTGGAGATAAAGAAGACCCTAAGGACACCAGAAGGAGGGATCCCAAACACCAACAGAAGGTGAATCAGGGTCCTAGCCCTTTAAGACTTCAGACTAGGTGAAGTGTTAAAATGCTTCCATGTAGTAGATGCAAGATACTTTATTGTACGAGATGCCTGACTGTGCAATGAAAAGCAAAATCCAAAACAAAAAAAATTGAACTAAGTCACAATATTGGTTCAGTGTTAGTTAAAACTACTCATGTTGTTTTTTAAAATTTTTTCATAGCATTGGAATTTTGAACTCAGGGTCTCACACTTGCTAGACATATGCTCTACCACTAGAGCCACATCCACAGTCCTTTTTGGTTAAGTTATTCTTCAGATAGGGTCTCACATTTTTGCCCAGACCAGCCTTGGACTGTGATCTACCAATGTCTCCTACATAGCTGGGATTAAGATGCATGCCACCATTGCCCAGCTTGTTCTTTGAGATAGGGTCTTGCTAACTCTTTACCCAGGCTAGCTTTGAACAGCAATCCTTCTATTTCTACCTCCCAAGTAACTGGAATTATAGGCATAAGTCACTTCCTGTTTAGGCTATTTTTTAGATAAGGATCTTGCTTTTTCCTGGGTCAGTCTCAAACTACAATCCTCCTGTTTCCACATTCTTAGTAGCTAGGATTACATTCATGAGCCACCACATCCAGCTTTTCTCTTTCTCTCTCTCTCTCTCTCTCTCTCTCTCTCTCTCTCTCTCTCCCTCTCCCTCTGTGCAGGAGATGGAACTCAAGGCTTCATACATGCTAGGCAAGTGTTCTTCTACCACCAACTTAGAACTACTCATTTTTTAACTATCAGACATTAAGTTAAGGCTTTGCAAGTTGGTTTTAAATTGAAGCTTTTAAATTGAACCCTCCTTGTTATGGAGGGTTTGACATGAGCTTTTTCTTCATTGATACAGCAATCCCCATTTCTTCCCAGTTTTATTCTCTGGGATTTTAGTTACTTGCAGTCAACTGTGGTCAGAACAGTGCAATAAGGTTATTTGGAGAGAAAGATGAACCATATTTACATAATTTTTTACAGTTTATTGTTATAATTGTTTTATTTTATTATTAGTTATTAATTTAAATTAAACTTTATCATAGGTGTATACATATAGAAAAAAAGTAGTATCTATACGGCTCAGTACTAGCCTCAGTTTTAGGCATCCACTGCGGGTCTTGGAACATGTTCCCTGAGGTTAAGAGGGACAGGTATATGTTGAAAATGAGATGCAGCTCAAAAATCACTTTCCTCTAGAATAGAGGAATTCTTTCCCAAGGTAGAATTTAAACCTGCTTGTTGACAATAGAACTTAGACACAAAGCCTTATCTACTTTGTCCTGCTACTTCTTATCAATGAATCACATTGGAAGATGTGTATTCATAACCAGTTTCCTTTCTGAAAGTGATTAGATTATGTGATTCATGCAAATCAGCCGCAATCATGCACTGCGCTTGCTTCCACCCTGCTGAGGCAAAACAGAGCTGCAATCTCATTGTAACAAGGTACAGAGAAAAGGCTTGTGAAGAAGGGCGTGAGGGGGAGGGAACACATACTACTCCATGATCAGGACAATGTCATTCCTGGACTCGAAGGCATCGTAGAGCTGAATGAGGTTCACGTGGTCCAGCTGGTTCATGATGTTGATCTCATTCTTCACTTCCTCCTGAGCAGAAGGGAACACCATGTGAGTAGGTAGAAACTGGTCAGGGGGCAGAGATCTACTTCTCGTGGCCTTTACCTTGTCCTTTGTGCTTCTGGCCTTAATGATTTTGGCAGCCAGCTTCAGACCTGTTGCTTTCTCTTTACACCTGTGAACCTGGCCGAAACGCCCCCTACCAAAGAAGAGAGAGGCCAGCACAGCATGAGTTACCATCATCTACAAAGACTATTCAACCCCAGCCAGTCAATTCCCTGGGAATTTCTCTTTTTGAGTTTGAATATGCAAAGCTGTAAGTATATCTACTATATCTAGCAAACTTCTAGATCAGCACTGGTCAAGCTATGGTCTATGGGTCATTTATATCCCCCTGGAAGGATGAGTGTTAAGGATGCAGGTTTCTGCAGAGACAGGAATCCAGGGTAAGGCCCCAGAGTCTGCATTTTCAGTCTGTTCATCTTATTCAAATGTACACTAAAATTTGAAAACCACTGTCATAGGCAACAGAATCTTTCTGAATACATATGAAAGTGATACACGAGACTTTGTAAGTATGTGAACAATACAGCTTATTACTCAGGGATATCAAAATCACTTTAGAAGTTGCATATAAATAAAAAAAGAATTGACAACGACATTACATATAGATACATACAATCAAAAGTACATGTTGCTACTGATAAGGTTTTTCACAGGCTAGCTTGGATATCAACTTACATGTACTTTGCAAAACAGCTTCTGCTATGGACATGGTTAAAGTGTGTCCCCCAAAGGTTCCAATGCTGGGAGCTTGGTCTGAAATATGGCAGTGTTAGCATGGTGTGGAACCTTTAAGAGGTGAGGACCAGTGGGAAATAATTAAGTTGTTACAGGCCCTGCCCTCGGAAGGAATTGTACTTCTTGTGGGAACTTGTTAGTTCTTGATAAAAGGTTGTTATCAGAATGCACGTCTGGCCCTTCCACATCTCTCCCTGGCTTCCTGTCTTACCATGTGATTTCTCCCACTCACATGCAGTCTCCCCATAATGCCCTTTACCATGATGTGATGCAGGCAGAGGGGCTCTCACCTGAGCAGAGCCAGTACTGGCACCATGTTCTTGAATCTCCAGAACTGTGAGTTAAATAAGCCTCTTTTCTTAATAAAGTACCCAGCCTCAGGTATTTCATTACAATAAAACAGAATAATATGGCTTCTTACCTAGTAATCACATCCAGAAATGCACACTTATGAACACAAGTTTTAAACTTGATATGCTTACTCCAATTCCTTATTTAGTAAAGTAAGATAAAACACACATGCCTGCTTTGTGCCAGGGTGGCTGTCACAGCAGGGATTGAAAGGGGAACCTCCCTAAGCAACACAGTGACTTCAAAGAAGGCCACATTCATGGAGCCTTTTAGGGATGAGGGTGATAACCATACCTGACACATGCAGGGGTGGTGACAGCCACCACATCCCATTTGACTCAGCTACCCACTCAGCATGGAAGCACAGGGCTCTTGGAGAATGACACTGGATTACTATGAACATAGCTAAGTGGTGACTTCAATTCCAACTACCACTCCAGATGTAGTCTAAAGGGAGCTCATGAACACAGACCAGTGACCTCCCATGGGGCTTTTTCTTCCTTAGTCAAAAGGCTCATGATGTCAGAGGTTTGAAGCCATGGTCATTGCGCCCTGTGGCCACACAGTACATCATGGCAGGAACATGTGGCAGTCACTACTCATTTCATGGTGACTGGGAAGCAAAGAGAGGAAGAGGAGGTGCTGGGGTCCCATAATCCCTTTCAAAGTCACTACACCCCCAATGACCCAACCTTCTTCTACTAGACCTCACTTTTTAAAGATTCTACCACCTCCTAACAGGACCACTAGTTGGCAACAAAGCCACTAACCCTTTGAACTTTGGGGGACATTTAAAATCCAAATTATGGAAAGGAAATAAATACTCTAGAGGCCATAGCGTAAGAGATGAACCCAGGAGTTTTTCTGAGGACCCAGTGATCCTGCCACATTGTGAGCAGCCTAGTACTGAAAGGAAGAGCTGCATTTAGTGATCCCTTCACACTTGTCACTTCTTGAAACAACACCACTCTCTCAGTTATACTCATTTGACTTATCCACTGAGCACATTAGGGCCACCAGTGTTGAGTGGAGCCCAGAACAAGTAATAACCAGTCCCCAGTCCAGACCTCAGTACAGCCAAGGGGATCCAATAGTGCCCAAAGAGGCAGAAAAGAAGTTTAAGAGGAGCCGTTGACAAACCTTGGCCAGAAAAGTAGAACAAACCCTGGGAATTATTTCTTCTACAAACAACTTTTCTTCAGAGAAATAGTTGCTGGTTTGCCAATGAAGTCCCTGAAGACCCAAATACTCCAGACTTCTACAGCACCAGTTCGTGTTTTTCCCTCAGCCCATCCCCACAGTCCCGTGAGAAGTTGTCTCTATGATTAGCCAGCTGAGGAAGAAAAAATTCAGGTGGTTCCATGTGGCCAAGGGCAAAAGGAACATGGAATGGGAAGAGGAGGGGATTTTACAATCAACTAATTGCACCCGAAAATTCAATTGCAGAAACCTGTGCTACAGCAGCCATGCATATATTCCGTGAGTAAGTAAGCAAATTTTGTATCTATGTATGGTTTTCTATCTTGCTTTTTCTATTTTACAAAGATATACTGATGGTAGCAAACCTGGTAATTTAGGCTTTGAATTAGAAGATTTCATCAGGGAAATTGTAAATGAAGTAGAAGAAAAAAGTATTAATTTGGTCCCTGATGAACCCTAATTTTCTTTAGGGAGAGAGTGTGCATTTAGATGTCCCTTAAAGGAGTTCTTCAATGAGGAAAGTAATCAACTGAAATGGATAATAGCAATTAATACAGTAACAGTAAAAATGTAAAACCAGCAAAAATGATACAAAAACAACCCCTGCCATTGGAAATACACAGTGTGGACTCATTTCTACCTTTTTCTCTTGGGGGGTTAACCCATGGCTGTGGACAACTTCTAAACCTTCTGATGACTTACACTGGGTTTTTCCTTTGGTCAGATATTATAACATGGGAAGTAAAGCTGATAATAAATGGGGAGTTTAGTCACTGCATCAACCTTTTTGGCATCAGTGACAATTTTCAGAAATAGCTAAAGCTTTTGAAATGTTTGTTGATAATGTTTCTAGTTCTCAGGTCACAACCAGCAAACATTTCTGTGAAGGCTTCTCTACTTTGGGCAAAAAATTGTTCAAATGGAGTGTTACTCACCCTCCTAGAATTTCTGTTTTGCTCACTGTATATAATCTGTCAACTGCTGCTTGTTTGACTGCTACAATACGATGATCAAATGGAGCAGCAGGAGCTGGGACATCATCTGGACGGTGAGAGAAGAAAAAGGCCATCTGTCAAGCCATCTAACCTCTACAGCATCAATTATTGGGCCTTACAGTACAACTTCGCTCATTTAATAGTAAAATACAATGGGTGATCTGTCTTATTCCTAATGACCTAAGAATATACATTTTCATCTCATATTATGACCTGTGACTCATGAAGGTGATATCTAACATCTTTGAGAAAGAACACTGGGGCCAGTCACCTATACCTTCTTCAGGACCACTTTTAGAAAGGTCAAGATAGTTAAAAATCTGCAACCCCAATACAGTCCACACAGGAAATAGTTCTGGGAATTGGAACTGTAGTTCAATAACAGGGTGCTTGCTTAGCATGAATAAGACTCTTGGTTTGATCACCAGCACCACAAAAGGAAGAAGAAAGAAATAAAAAAAACTCCAAGCCTGAGACCACTTTAATTAAAACATGAGAAATTATTTGATCCATTTTCTTAAAGTGCCCCTGATGTTATCTGTAATTAAAGCAGAGAGCAAAAAAGAAAAATGAAACATTTCATCACATCATTGAAATATTTGATATCATATATTAATACTTTCCAATATGTTTTAGGTTTTATGTAAGAGACATTTTAAGGCACAGAGATGAATTTTTCCTGGCTGACTGGAAATAAAACACCCAATAAAAAAGTAGGTAAGTGTGTATTCTCAAGGTATCAAATTTCTCCCACTTTTCACCTTCCATCTTATGGGTTTAAACTCTAGTCCACATCAACATCAGTCCTAACACTCACAGTTACTCAGTAACATTTCTCTCAGTGTTCTTTTTACTTTCCATAGCTACTGCTGTTAAAATTTTCTGGACAGGAATCTGTTCATTCTCCATTTGTTCACCTATTAAACAGCTATTGCAGCTACTGTATTAGGATACATAGAGTCGTAAAGGCGAGAAGATAATAGCTTTCCTTTCAAACCTTAATATTTATCCAACACATATTTCTTGAGCACTTATATTGTTCTAGGTACTCTACAAGTATTATTAGTTTGACTTCATATTAATTTAGTTTAATTAACAGCATTTTAATATTCAGATAACATAAGTCTCTGGGAATTTAATTTGATGGGAGCATTCATCTCTCCTGCCATAAATATGTGGAAAAAATTAAATCATGAACGAATTCACTTGGTAGTATTCATTGCTTTGGATTGTTTTTCTTTAAAAGAGGAGTGCTTTGCTTGCTTGGTATAAACAAGGCCCCGAGTTGGATTTCCAGGACCACAAAAAATATAAAGTACTTGAGTCAAACACACTAATAGCATCACTATGGCAGTATGTTTCCTTCAGGCTGTTAGGATAAGAGAAATTTAGTTGGATTGCTTGCTGGAAAGGGTTAGGAAACTTTAAAAGGCCTGAACAAAAGCATTTCCTACCCAGTGGGATGGCCAGATCTTGCTCTGTGGAGGTCTTCCTTCCAGCAAACTCTTGGGGTTTACTCTGTAAACTCCTCTGGGCTTGTCTTGTTTCCTCTGTGCTTTTAAATGTGTGTTCTTCACTTGTACCCACTACATCTATTCTGCTCTTTTTGTTGTCTTCCTTGAGGAAGCTCTCCTCTGTCACTCTACGCTTACTGCTGCCAGCAAACTCTGTTTGTTCAGCATTCTGGAAAGTGGATCCTATTGTTGAATTTCCCAGGATTCCTGGTGTCAAAATGGCCTTTATGCTGTCGATACACCTGGAAAATAAAATCCAGTTGTGGCTCTCAAAGTTTCAAGGAGAAAATGTTCAGAGTCAAAATTCTTAGAACTAAAGCTTTCTTACATTGGTGTTGTGGCAAAGAGGATGTGAGATCTGTGACGGACAGATGGCCATTTCAGTGGTTAAGAACAAAATAAAGCTGCGTGTTTCTCCTCATCAAATCTAAGTAGATTACCAGGATGCAGACTCTCCCCAAGACCTCATGGTGACCCCAATTTATTCCAGGAGCTAATCTGGCAATTTGAGCTTCATTTTTTTTTCACTTCCAGAAAAGAGAAATGACTAAATTACAGCATAACATACGAAGTGATAATCTTGCTGAAGATTAACAGCCATGGTGCCAGAACTGATCTAATTTCCAATTTTTGGCAGCTCCTGACCCTACTAAGCATATCTTTACAGTGATAAACTTCAATAATCTTGTGTTTATGTTTAATTTATGTAAAATTAGATTTCTCCAAGGTAAGGTTTCAAATACATTATTTTTAAATTAAATAAGAATTATTTCTTAAATTCCTAAAAAAAGACCACACAGGTGTTTGAACATTCCTTGCTCCAAATAGATACTATGGTTTTTCATAACTTTAAAAAAAATTTTAATTGGCTACAAAATTTCTTGAATTTTTGTCTGAAACTTTTCAATTGAGAAAAAAATTCAGTCAATAATCTACTTCTTATAATATTTGGGGAAAAATAGCCAATTTTTTATGCTTAATGAACTAGGTAAGCTTTTCCAGATATAGGTTTTTATTTTACAATTAAATCCAACCATTATTTAATTCCTGACCTTAGGAAGTATCTGTTCTGTATTGTTAAACAACAAAACAAAACTTTTTACTTGATCTTTAAAAAATATTGATCAGTGGAAGTATTAACAACCATCACCTTTGTCTACTACTTATAGAAGACTTAGACAATAGTGGAGCATGTGCTTAGCATGAGCAAGGTCCTGGGTTCCATCCCCCCAGCACCAATAGAAAAAAAAGAGAAGATTTTAAAAAATGTAATGCTTGAAAATATCACAGGAAGAAAAAAATATCATAGGCAAGAAAATGTGGCCATGAAAAATCCAGATAAGCTGAGAAACGGGGATCTAAATCATTACCTGAAAAACTCTTCATTTATCTTTTCAGTGTGACTTCAGATTGTAATGGAACACAATTTTTTTAAAAACACCAGTTGTGGATGTATAATGCTATAACCCTACCTTTCATGGTACTGATCACTATTAGTTTTATCAACATACTGTTTTTCATTTGAACATTGGTCCAGCATTGTTTCATTTGCAGTTGTGGTTCCTCCACCTTCTTCATCTTCTCTTCTACCAGTGTCTTCCTTAAAAAGAAGCCCATTTTTCTCTCCTTTGACTAGTGGACAATCACTCTTAACCACAGTGCCTTGTTTATCATCTCCAATGCTACTGTTTTCTTGTCTCTTCGAGCTTTCTGTGCATGAACTGTCTTTTCCAACTGCATTCTCTCTTGGATCTATGGAATTTCTTAGAGCAAAATCTTCTGCTTTGTCTTGTTTTTCTGTATGACATATGGCAAAACCTCTCTGAGCTACAGAGGTATTGGTCTTCTCGTCATTTTTCTTGTTGAGTTTATTAACCTTTTCTTTCTCAGAGGAGAATTGGTTCTTCTCAGTAGATCTCTCTAGAAGCCACCACAGGACACAAAAATATTTAATGTAGAATGCACGTGATCAATATAATTTTGGATATCTTTAGTCTGATTTCTTTCTATCTGCAGATATAGGATTTTAAAGCAAATTTAAAAATCTGACAGTGAGTTTCAATAGATTTTGTAACTAGTAAGACACAAAAGCCAATCAGATAAAGGCATTCATTAAACAACACTTCTCTCTACATAGGTTTAGGAATGTGCAATTTCCTCTGAATAAGAATAACAATAGGACTGTCATAACAGGAATCTCTTTATCAATAATGATCTAGTCTTCTAAGGATTTTACCTGTTAGGTTCAATGTCTTTTCACCATTGACAGTTGTCCTTTCCTTCAGACCAGGGTTTGACCACACCTTCTCCTCAGCCTGTGGATACAAAATTAAGTAACTGAGATTATCTACTATATTCACATTTCTCAGCCTCAGCATTACTGACACTCAAGGCTGGATAATTCTTTGCTCTGAAGACCATCATAAGCAGTATAAGATGTTTAGTAACATCTCTAGCCTCTATCCACCAGATAGTAAGACTACCCAGCCTCCCAGTGATAATGATCAAAAATGTCTCCAGGTGTTTGAAATTTATTCTCTTAATTATTTTAAAGTACATAGTACATTATTATTGACTCTATGCACTCTGCTGTGCAATAGATCTCAAAACTTACTCTTCTATCTATTTGAAACCTTGTCAATTAAAAATAATGTTAATAAAACAAAATGACTTTGTAGATTGCTAAATGTCCCCTGGGAGCAAAATTGCTCCATGTTGAAAACTGCATCATATAATTCAAGCATAGTAAAACCCCACAAAATCAATAATCATGTAGAATGCAGAACAATCTGAATTAATGAAATCCTGCATAGAATACAGTATCTGAGAACAAATGAACTCACTGGTTTCAAAGAAATTCTGTAGAACTCTGTCAAGATTTGTAGAAAGTGAACAGATTAAAAGATAGTGATAATGTATATGTCACCCTTGACCTCTGTTTAAGCTATCTTGATACAGTTTACATATAAATCAAACACAAATGAGAGGATATACGTGAAAGGGATTTGTAAATCAGAAAGCAGGAGATAGAAGAAAGGTTTTTTTTTTTAAATATAAGTGGAGCTTTTGCATTGTTAGAACAGATGATCCTTCTCCCAAATGGATAAACATTATCACAATCTTGGATTTTCTGAATTTGTTTAGTAACCCCTTTCAAGATATAATATAAAAGGTAAACATTGGAGGAGTCAAGATGGTGGATTTCTAGCAGCTTCCACTTCACTTAGCACCACCAACCTGAAAGATAACTTAAGTTCGTGGCTGCAAATGTAGTTGATCTGGGTTTTTTTAATCAAATAAGAGGTTGCCAATATATAGACATACCATAGCTATAATGACCAACTTCTAAATAAACCTTTTAAAGTATAAATTCACCCCAGGAGTGTGGGCACTACCAGGAACCCACTTCATCCTGTGTCATTGCCAACACGGGAGTTTGACTGATGTGTGTTTTCTTTTTTCCTCTTCCTTTCTGATACCTGGACCAGAGTAGCCTCCAGTTCACAAGAACCATTTGAAGTGCTAAAAACTGACACACAGAGCTGTGAGCATCACAGAAGCCTGGGAACTTGTGGATTGCAGAGAAAGGGAACAATCACCAACCATAGATGTGGGGTTCTCTCTGATACCTGAGAGACAAGCCTGCAAACCCTTCAGGTCAGTAGACAGAAACAACAACAACCTAGATACAAAAGGGGAATTTAATAAAAACATAGAACACACACACACACACACACACACACACACACACACACACACAAACCCAAATGGAAACTCTGGAAATAAAAAAAGCTCCTTAAGTCAAATAAAAAATATAGAGTTGAAAATCACTTCAGCCAAGCAGAAGAAGTGGAAGACAGAATTTCAGGGCTTGAAGACAAAGTAGATATAATAGGAAAAAACAGATGAATACATAGAAAAAAGAATAAAGAAATAAGCAAGAACTTCACAACACCATTGAAAGCAAACTATGAACCATTGGCACTGGAGAAGAAGAAAAGGTACAAGTCAAAGGCATAGGAAACACTCAACAAAATAATAGCAGAAAACTTCCAAATCTTAAGAAACAGATGCCCATCCACATACAGGAGGCTTCTAGTTCACCACAGACATGACCAAAATAGAACCTCTCCACAGCATATTATATTTAAAATATTAAGTACAGAGAACAAGAAAGAATATTGAAATTAGTAAGGTAGAAACATCAAATCACCAATAAAGGTAAGCCCATCAGAATAATAGCAGATTTTTAACAGAAACCTTAAAACCAAGAAGGGCATAGAATGAGATATTTAAAGCATTGAAAGAAAATAATTTCAAGCCTATATTAGTCTACAGGGCAAAGCTATCATTTATAACTGAAAGAGAAATAAAAACCTTCCATAATAAATAGAAACTAAACCAATTTATGATCACTAAGCCAACACTTCAAAAGATACTCAAAGGAATGTTACACACAGAAGATGAAGATAAACATAGTAATGAAAGGATGGAATAATGAAATTTCATGAGATGAACAGATAAGCAATAGTAGAGTAGTAAGGAATCAATTACACACACACACACACACACACACACACACACAGAAGCAACAAAATGGCAGAAAATACCACATACCTTACAATATTAACATTAATGTCAATGGTTCCAATTCCCCAATCAAAAGACATAGATTGGTGAACTGGATTAAAACCAAGACCCAATTATTTGTTTTCTATAAGACATGCATCTCACCAATAAAAACAAATATTGGCTTAGGATGAAAAGGTGAAAAAAGATTTTCTAAGCAAATGAACCCCCAAAATAGGCAGTAATAATTATATTTATGTTATAGAGTTAAAACCTAAACTAGTCATAAAAGACAAAAAAAGTTCTAATATTATAAAAAGAACAACACATCAAAAGGAAATAACAATTATTAGCTTATATGAGCCCAACTTCATTAAACGAACACTACTGGACTTAAAAGCATAACTAGACCCCAATACGATGGTAGGAGACTTCAATACTCCACTGTCACCAATAGATAGGTCATCCAGACCCCCTCAAAAAAAAATCAATGAAGAAATTTCAGAATTAAATGACACCAAAGGCTAAAAGGTCTAAACAGACATTTACAGAGTATTTCATCCAGCAGCAGCACAATGCACATTCTTCTCATCAGCCCATGAAACTTTCTCCAAAATAGATTGCATTTTAGGATACAAAGCAAGCCTTAACAAATATAAAATTGAAATAACTCCCATATCCTGTCTGAGACCACCATGGAATAAAACTAGAACTCAATAACAAAAGAAACTGCAGAAAATATTCAAACACAGGGAGACTGAACAACACAATTAGTGGGTCATCAAAGAAATGATGGAGGAAATTTAAAAGTTCCTGGAATCTAGTGAAAATAAAACATGCCTTTCAGAATCTATGGGATACAACAAAGGCAGCACTAGGGAAAGTTTATACCTGTGAGTACCTACATTAAAAACACAGAGCTCTCAAATAAGTGACCTAATGCTTCATCTCAAACTCCTAGGAAACGAAGAACAAACTAAACCCAAAACCAACAGAATGAAAGCGATAATAAAAATAATGGCCAAAATCAACAAAATAGAGCATATATATATTTAATGGAACCGAAAAGTGGTTCTTCAGAAAGACAAATAAGATTGATAAACTGTTAACCAATCTGACTAAAAAGATGAGGGGAAAGATACAAATTAGAGACGAAAAGGGGATATCATAACAAATACCAATGAAATTCAGAGGATCATTAGAGAATACTTCAACAACCTGTACAACCTGTACTCAAATAAAATGGAAAATCTAGAAGAAATGGATGAATTTCTAGATGCATATGACCAACCAAAAGCTCTGAAAAAGTAATGTGCCTCAACATAACAAAGGCTATACATGTCAAACTTATAGCCAACATCATACTAAATCATACTAAATGGAAAAAACCTGAAACCATTTCCTCTAAAATCAGGAATGAGACAAGGGTGTCCACTCTCCCTACTCTTATTTAACATAGTTTTAGAATTTCTAGCCAGAACAATACGACAGGAAGAAGAAATAAAAGAAATTCAAATAGGGAAGGAAGGAGTCAAATTATTCTTATTTTCAGGTGATATGATCTTATACCTAAAAGACCCTAAAAACTCCACCAAAGAAACCTCCTAGATATCAAAAACACATTCAGCAAAGTAGCAGTATACAAAAATCAATGTACAAAAATTAGTAACTTTCCTATATACCAACAATGAACAGACTGAGAAAGAATTTAGGAAAATAATCACATTTACAATAGCCTCAAAAAATAGCTAGGAATAAATTTAACAAGGAAGTGAAAGAACTCTACAATGAAAACTATAAATCACTGAAGAAAGAAACTGAAAAAACATTGGAAGATGGAGAAGTCTCCCATACTCATGTGTTGGCAGAATTAATATCATGGAAATGGCTATACTACCAAAAGTAATCTATATGTTCAATGAACCACCACCAAAATTCCAATAACATTTCTCACAGAGATTGTGGATAGATTTATTTCGGTCTATCAAAATATGTAAAACTGAGAATTTATACAGCTCTGTGGAGCACTGATCAGTGTTTTTCCTAAAGGCCAGCCAAGTGTCTGGTAATAAATGTCGGAATGCTGTGTCCACATTTTTCAGGTCCAGCATCTGACCTGACCAACAGTAGAAGCTGTTGATCCTGAGAGGGATGAAACAGCTTCCAATGAGGCTATTTTTTCCTTTGGTAATTATGCAGCATATATATTTTATCATGTAAATAATGTAAAACCTTTATTTAGACTATTGTATTTTCATTTCCTATATGATACTGACATCTAGAGGAACTATGAACTGAAGACATTCTAGTAGACATAAGTTGTGTTCCCTGGACAGTAATCTTGCTGAACTTAATATGAATCCTTTTTATTTTACACCTCCGAGTTCTGTGTAGAAGTTGTTAAATAGGAAAGACAATTCTGTGGATATATCTTATTTGTTGTCCAAAAATGAACCATGTTTCTTACTGACAGGATAAGATTGGTGCTGTTAAACATGAAGCTCCTGAAACCATTCCTATCATTATCCCACTGTAGGGATGAAAACCACATCAGGAATTATTCTCCTCTGCTGAATTCACACTGATGACTGAGATGGACCAAAGGACCTTGTTTCATTCAAACTCATTTATTCATTCACTTAAGGAATATTTATACATTTGCATATAGATGGCTTCGTGACTACTTACCAACTCCTTTTATAATAATTTATCAGTGGATGACATAGGGGACAAAAAGGACATGGCC